TTAGAATTCAATGACCATTGGATCGGATCCTCAATGGTCTACGAGCTCTCCTTGTAACCAGAAGGTCCTGGGTTAGAAATGCGTACTGATGAAGAGTCCTGGACTAGGACGAAACAGCTGTCCAGTACTCCCAGGTTTTCCAGTAGTTCTCTTACTGATGTCAACTCATGATGCAATCCTCTATGCAATCAAACAAAATCCCTACAAAACCAATACTTGAAAACATTATGCATCTTTAAGCAGCCTATTGAGTTCATCAGTCGTACACTTACCTAGCGGGCAACATTGTATATTGCCTTCTCTTGTTTATTCTCAATTACATAAATGCATGAGACAGTTTACGGACTATCTAATGACTTGAAGCAATTAGCACCCTTTATGAATTTAGATAAAACAATACGAAGACATAATTTCTCTGGAATGTGTAATATATTTACCCGCCACATTTCAAGCACTCTCAGAACACACATAATTGTCAAACATACTTATATGGTATGACAACAGAGCATAAGGAATCCAAATATTTAGAAAATCAAAACAAGTGATGATTCAGCGAAGAGACTCTTTTCAACGAATTTATCATCAAGCTGTACAATCGTATATATATATGGTTTTTAAGAAGTTATATCCGGTGAGGGAATTGAATCATAGGTGTGAATGCAAAATTAATAATAATAGTAGTAGTATGAAATGCAATTAAAATCTAAAATGTTTGTGATTATAATCATAGTTAAATGTCAAGTGGCAATATTCCCTGCTGCATCTCTAAGAACAGCCTTTACTAGTCGATCATTACTGTTCAATAACCTGAAGGACAAGATCCCACTGTTGACCAACTCTATGTGTGTTTATCAATTCACCTGCTCGTTAGACTCGACTCGAGTTTTGTCCAAGAGGGTGCACCAACACTATCCTGCAGGGTTACGAAGAGGTGGAAGTCTGTCTGTCTGTTTTCGGCATAGAACTTTGCACATATGTGCGGAAGTTCAAGTCGCCACACTCCCTCTATGTTTCACACAAAGCAAGAGAAGAAAGCAGAAGAAATGCATAATAGAGACAGTAAACAGAGGTGTGAGACAAAGGAATAGTAATAACGAAGAACAAAACAGTTCCATTGGAAATCATAAGTCACAAGGAGTGGATGCATCTGCGCCATTGAGAGGTGGAAGTGGAGCAATAAGAAGCGCGATCATTGAACATCTGGTTGATAATGATCACCCTATCACTATAGCCTCCACCTTTATAGTCATCTACAAGGCAAAGAATAATTTACCCAAATCCCTATGTACCCGACTCATCTGTATTGCTGAAGCCATCTTTGGCTATCGAAACAGAAAAGCCAGATCTCTGTGTACAGAAAAAGTTCGTTCAACCCCTCCAACTTTCATGTTCTTAATCCTTCTATGCTGAAGTATGGTAATCCCCAATCATATTTTAGCTCTACCAATTTTTCATTTTGTCATTTTGTCTATTCAATTTGTAGTCTCTTCCTTTATTACGTCAATTGTTACTATTACTTCTCTCATTTTGAACTGTCCCCGGTATTATTTCACTTGTTCCACTTGTCATTCTAAGTCACTTCTTTTTTACAACGTTAAATTCTATGCTATCAAATTTCACACAATATTACGTAACGTTTTTATTTTATTCGATTTGTCTACTAATCCTATAATTGCACACCCTTTTTGAAGTTCTCTCCATCCTATGAATTATTCTACATATGACATCAATTTGCTATGCCAGTTGACATTTAACTATGATTATAATCACAAACATTTTAGGTTTTAATTGCATTTCATACTACTATTACTATTATTTTATGCATTCACACCTGTGATTCGATACCCTCACCGATATAACTTCTTAAGAAAAACCATATATATATACGATTGTGCAGCTTGATGATAAATTCGTTGAAAAGAGTCTCTTCGCTGAATCATCACTTGTTTTGATTTTCTATTTATTACGTAACTCCTTTATCATTGTATCGAAACATCTATTTTTGCCTAAACTTGAAGTCTTTCGCTAAAAACAAATTATAAGTGTAATTTTCTGAGCACTGTTCATCATTAAGTGTAGATCCTCCTGTTAATTGACATCATGTAACATTTTTAAGTGACTGGTTTCATTATAGAAATTTGCACAGATGTGCACCAGTTCCAATTGCCACACTCCTTCCATGCACCACACAAAGCACGAGAAGAGAGTGTAGAGAGATAATAACGGATATATTTTTTTTAGATTTTTAGATTTTTAGATTTTTAGATTTACAGCTTGATTCCACACTGTATTTTTGGTACAAGTATAGAATTTTCAGCATGGATATCGGTAGCCCAAATTTCGCAGGCCGACCATAGATATCAGGTGTGCGCCGGCGTGGGCTCGAACCCCGGACCATGTGCATGGTCGGCGAGAGTCCTAACCACTGTGCCACCGACGCACAAAAATGAATAGTAACATGGAAAGACGATAGAGTTTTATTGGATATGACAAATCGCAAAGAGTTAATGGCAGTCACCTCTCTATCTCAACTTCATCGACTTTGAAAAGGCCTTCGATAGCGTCGATCGAGTAGTCATTTGGCAGCTACTTCGCTACTACGGTGTGCCATCGACAATTATACATCTCATCCAACAGTTATACGACTATGCTGCATGCCAAGTAATCCACAACGGGAAACTTACGGAGGCCTTCGAAGTGAGGACGGGAGTGAGGCAAGGCTGTCTACTATCACCAATGATCTTCCTGATTGCAATTGACTGGATAATGCGACAGACAACGGCAACCAACGAGGGAACAGGCATAAAATGGACTGACACAAAAGACTTGGAGGATCTGGACTTCGCCGATGATATATGTATGATTTCCCACAAACTGGAAGATATGCAAGTGAAAAGCGACAAGCTGGCAGAATAAGCATCAAAGGCAGGAAGGACTTCAGGTGAACATAGATAAAACAGAGGTGATGAAGATTCCTGGCCAACAGCAACAACAACAGACAACAATCAGCCAGAATAAATGGGAAGAACCTGAAAGAAACAACCTCCTTCACCTACCTGGGAAGCATTGTTTCAACTACAGGCGGAAGTGACGGGGATATCAAAGCAAGAATCGGAAAAGCAAGACAGGCTTTCATTACCCTTAAGTCTGTGTGGAGGTCAACAGCATTCAGCATCAAAAATAAGATCCGGATTTTCAACTCCAATGTGAAGTCAGTCAGTGCTACTATACGGATCAGAGACTTGTCCAGCGCGTCATAAAGAGCATCTCAAACGAACTATTATTTATTTGGTTTGATTACAGCTTGATTCCACGCTGTATTTTTGGTACAAAAGTGGAATTTTCAGCATGGATATCGGTAGCCCAAATTTTCCAGGTCGACCATAAATATCAGGTGTGCGTCGGCAGGGGATCGAACCTCGGATCATGTGCATGGTCGGCGACAGTCCTAGGCACTGTGCTACCGATGCACTACAGACCTTCATTAACAATTGTCTTCGATCAGTACTCAAGATCAGATGGCTGGCCCGAAAAGATCAGCAACAGGGATCTCTGGCAATGAGCGAACCAACCCAGCAGGAACCGACTGTGAAACAAACAGGCAGGAGGAAATGGAGATGGATTGGCTAGCCACACTCTGAGGAAACCATCCAGTGACATCACTAGACAAGCCACCGCTTGAGTGGAACCCGAAAATGAAGCGGCGAGTTAGTCGCCAGTGCAAGGGTGACTTGGAGGAGGCCATGTGAAGAGGAGATGAAAACATGTGGGCAGACTTGGAGGGGTGAAAAAGTTGGCAGAAAACAGAGGGCAATGGAGATGCGCAGCTGAAGATTAATGTTCCTTTAGGAATTAAAGGATATAATAATAATAATTACGAGTAATTTTTAACACATAAAGCGGCTTTAAGCCGTTTATTGGCTAAGATTTTAACGAATATAATTATGTCCCTCAAACCTGTTTTATGTTTGGGGTGAAAGGTGCTACTGAAATCGACTTTATGACCTGTCCAAAGGGTATCGTTGAGGTTGACGTAGACAGCCTTGTTTGTTCTTTCCGTCACACGCGAATGTTCACTGAAGGAATTGGCTAGGCTGACGGTATAAAACGAACTGACAATGTTACCATCCACGCGTCACTGATTTTGATGATCAATGACTTTGATCTGGCAACCTATAAGTCTTGGAGTTCGATGCATGATGGAGTGAGGGGTTGACACTGTGAAGGGTCCCAATATAGGACGAAACAGTTGTCCAGTGCTCCCTGGATTTCCATGATCTCTCTAAATGATGCTGGTTTTTCATGAGATTTAACATGTGAACTTAAGAATGTGTTCTTCAATCCTAACGAAAAAAGATGGATAGGTCCTCCTTATGTACATGTGACCATGCATACACCATGTGGACTGATAAACACCCTGGGATGTAATACTATTATTTAGACTCTGTGAGGATTTACATTACAAATTTCAGATTAAAATACATTCTTTTATTTGTATTATGACTATTTGAAAATAGTGCATATTTATATTTTGGAAATTTAAACAATTAACACTTGATTATATATGATTGAAAAAGACATTTTAAACAATGGCATTATTGTATAAAAATGAATGGAATTTGACATTATTGTCATTTTTATTAGTTAGTTAATTTATTTTGTTTATATATACATTCTAAGATAGCTACAATGAAATGAATTCGATATTGTCAGTAATAATAATAATAATAGTATTGTACAATATGATGTAACATGCAAGTATCACTATTTTCAACTAATTAGTTAATTAGTTGTTTAAGATAAAGGACATTAGGCATCATATATACACACATACACACATACATGCATACATTGATACATGCATGAACATATACGCACGTACATACGCACCTTGATCGATCCACATCGAATTATAGTTTGTTTATATACATGTAATGATTTCAGAAATAGCCTATAAAGTTGTATAAATAACCACTGTTAACGAATTCGCCTTAAAAATGCAATTCAATGAAGGAAATGATAGTAATTTTCTCTTCTTAATTTAAATTCTACACCAAGGAATATCACACTTTCCCATAAATTATCTCTTGTTTAATTAAAACAAGCAAACTAATTAGTACTGGACATTGAACAGTGATTGACCAACGCGCATTTTAATTATTCATCACACGTATACACAGAGAATCAGAATTCTTTAAGCAGGAAAAGGAAGAATACACAGCAAAAATGGCATACTCTGGTTATTCGTCAGACACTTCAGATACTGATCAAAATAATTCACCACCACTACCACCACAAGATGAAAAGACTAAGTCGAAGATAAAACCTAAACGTCGTAATAATAATAATCGTAAACGATTCGCTAGAATGCGTAAATCATGGAGATTTATGAAAATGAGAAAGTTATGGGAAAGAGATATGTCTAAACAAAGGTAAGATGATAATCTAAGGATGTGTTTTTTATTATTTATCTAATTTGTGGAGCTAATAATCGATGTGACATTTTAGAGTTAAGTTCTTAAATTTTGGCCAGTGAGACCAGGGTTCGAGCTCTCTTCCACCTCATTCAACCTAAGCTACTGGGCGGTATCACTTATCTTTGCAAAACAAGTACGGCCTATTCCCTGGTACATAAAAGACTTGTATCGGGTAACTAAGTTGAAATCGTCGTAAATGTTTAACAGCATTACCAAAAATGATTATTATTTCTCGAGTGATGGCATGTGGCTTACTGGTTGGTTGAAATTCAAAGACCGTGTGATAATTATAAGACTTCAAGTGCCTAAGCAAAGATGATACCTGTAAGCCACTGATGATGAAGAATCGGCTGGTTCATACTCTGCTGATTTAACTCACCATACTCTTTAGGTTGAGTTATTCAAGTGTTGGTTTGCAGGAATTTGACTGGTTACAGGATTTATCATGAGCTGGTATCGGCCAGAGAACCATTGGAAAACCCTGGGGGTATTGAATAGATATTTTGTCAGCATAGTTTGAGACCCACCGGCCTTCGAACCCAGGATCTTCTGGTTTCCACGACAGCTCTTAGACCATTAAGCCACTGGTACCCAGTCCAATGGTGAACCCATTGATTCCAACTTTTTTAAATCAAGATATAGCATGACCACTGGTCACCGTCGGGTGTGAGGACAAATACTTGATACCGATGAAATCGGCTCGTGCAGATTGCGCCATATCGAGTACCGACAGGAGTTTGAATTGATGGGCTAGTCCCCTCAAGTTAGCATGGATTCTATATATAATCTTAAAACTATGGTCAGGGTTGATAGAGTGAAAGAATTCGATCAGGTGTGCTATAATAGAGCTTCGTACACACTTCCTTTCTTCCTTGTAAAACCATGCTGGAATATGCTCTCATATCCGTGTGGAAAGCGTCCTGTGACTACGGACAATGTATCTTGCTCCACAAGAGCAGGTGAACTCATAGATGCACATGGAGGTGGCCAGAAGGGGGAGCCTATCTTTTACAGAGGTAGAGAACAACTTGTGGCTCGTGAACGTCATATGTAATTTTGCTGCAAAGAAGGTCTTACTAACTGCTTTAGAGAGACGATTTTTTGAGCATACCTGAAGCTTGATCACCTTTGAATTTCAAGTTCATGAATAAGGTTTCCTTTGGAACTGAGTCGGTGATCAGTTTAAATTGCTTATCTTTCATGTTGATGTCAATAAATCTGTTAGAATAACCGTTTTTCTGTGAATCAACGCAGTTAGAACTACAAATTTTCCTTATCCTAAAGCACAACGAATGAATTAGATCCCTTTTCTTGGAGATAGGAACCCAACTATAAAAATTAGTTAGTTGTCCGTTCCATGTACATTTCACTCTAGGCATCATATGTCAGAGTCTGACCCATGTAGACGAAGTCGAATTCTTAAATGAGATCCAGCGGACAACTGATGGTCAATTTTATAACAAACAACAAAAGGTGTTAATAAAGCAGGATTTAATGGATTCATCAAATTTCGGAAGAACTCTTCAATGGGATACTCTACATATACAGGCATAACATTAAGATGAAATGTATCACGGTTGAATTACACCACTCAAATAGACAGTTAATTATCAATGAGTGAAAGGAATTCAATAAATCGAGAACTCCCAACTAAATAATATTGATAATAATAATAAGAATAGTACTAACAATGATGATGACAATAATGCAAAAGGTAGTTAAGATAATGGTAATAACAAAACATAGTTTTAAATGAATCAGAAATAGTAATAATAAGAGGTAGAATAAAATATTAGATAGTTGGAGGCAATTGGCCTTTAGGAAGCTTTGGATATCGCCTAGGTTTCGTGCTAGTTGGCACTCACCAGTTCGCCAGTCGTTTCTACAACTCATGTCGTTTCTGAGATGCAAACCCGCGTTACCCAGTGCTTCAGTCAGAGACCTTACCACTGAGTTATTCGGGCTGGCGATGGACCTGCCGTAGGACTGTAGTGGGTATTCTGATTGGACACGAGTAACTAGTGTGACGTGTCTAGTCCTTTCTTTGGTGCAGACTGAATTCTATCAGTCAGGTTTTTGCGATGTGGCCACCATTCTAGGTAGCTCGCCATCACGGTGCACATTGATTTAATGGTATATTAGATAGTTGGAGGCAATCAATAGGAAGCCTTGAACGTCGCCTAGGTTTCGTGATAGTTGGTACTCACCAGTCAGCAAGGCGTTTCTGCAACCTTGAAGGAACCTGACTGATAGAATTTAGTCTGCACCGAAGAAAGGACTGAATACGTCATTCTAGTTACTAGTGTCCAATAAGAATAAAATATTATTGCTAGTAGTAATAGCAGTTAATTAGAAGAACTTATTATCATGGTAGATTCAGAGTGACCCCCATTTCCCTTTGTACACAGAGACCTGGCTTATAAACTCTAATTACACAAGCCTCCGCAATTGCAAGCATCTGCCTTTTTACTTTTATTTTCTGACAACATCGAATGTCTTGTCAGAGTCAATATCTTGTCTGTAGTCTACAATATGCTTTTTTATTGAAACCTTTAGCCTTTTAACTTCAGCTATTTTGTAACCACTTTGATGAATTCTCCATCATACGAGTAGACATTCGCCTTTTTGTACCACCTATGTAATTGCTTCCCCAAACACACTCATCAATTTGATATATACCGTTTAAATTGATATTGTTAAACTTAGAACCAGCGATACGGATGCATTTACACATTGATGTATTCTCACATGTCATTAGGAGCTTAAGCGTAAGAAGATGTGAACAATGTCTAAATTATCTCCTCTCCACATGATATCCCCCATGTCAATATTGGACACATGCCCAACTGGTCATTTCCCATTCGGATTCTACTCGACTGATGGCTTGCACTGAGCGCTATGTAATTCATTTGGCTCCTCAGTGGCGCATGTTCGATCCATCTGCATTTTCTTCGGAATATTTACTGAACAATAGGTTCTTCATTAGTTTGTTCACAGAGTTCCATGTTTGCTAATTCTTTCTGACCGGATAGCCATTTGATCTTCAGTGCGTCAGTGGCACAGTGGTTAGGACTCTCGACGACCATGCATAAGGTCCGAGGTTCTATCCCCTGCCGACGCACACCCGATATCTAGGGTTGGCCTGTAAAATTTGGGCTACCGATATCCATACTGAAAATTCCATACTTGTACCAAAAATACGGTGTGGAATAAAGCTGTAAATAAAAAATTTAAAAAAAATAGAGAGCCAGTTAAGTGAACTGTTTTTTAAAGTCTGAAGTGGCCTGTTGGAAATGCCTTTATTGATGTGCAATTGAAGTTTCTAACCCATATTTAAAGAACTCTAAGAAATGTTACTATCAAATGCACAGTGCGTAAATAATTTGTCAAATTGCATTTCACTTCACCAGAATCGATCACATCAAAACAGCTAACCAGATCTACTTGATAGTAAGACGAAATGCTAGGGAAGCGTTTTAGCTCAAGTAGATGACTATGGCGTGTTTGTATCCTCTAAGAAAGATGATTTAACAACGAAGACTTCATAGTCTTTCCAAACGACTACCTGAACACTAGCAGAGAGAGAGACAGAGAAACGGTTGTTACTTTCACGGAGAATTCTCAAGGTTCACTTTATCTTAAAGTTACATGTGAAGGTATGGTTTAGAAGGACAATAAAGGCTCCTCACTTTCATCAATCAGCTATGACAGTGGAATTACATCAAATCTTCTCCAACACTTTGAACTATGTGCTACTTTGAATGTTTGTTATTAGGGTGTACCACTATTGGCGAAATAAACCAAATTTTCCGTCGACAGATATTTTCAATGTAAATATGTTGCCATAATTTCCTTATTGTAACCTCAACTGTTTGACGTGTCTTCGGATATTTGCCACCACTAAATACCCTAACTAGAAAAAAAAGGTTAAACGGAATGGACGTGTTGACAGACAGTAACTCACCCATGACAATGCATAATGATCGAGAATTAATAAATGCTAGGAAAGATATTCCACAGTGCCTAATTCCTACAGTTACTCTAGGAGAGTTAGACTGGTGTTTGCCGACCTAATGTCTGACTACAGTTAATATTTCACTGTGAATCTTGACAAACCTGGGCCGGCTTATATATTAAGCTGTGTGAATGGATATCACTAAGAAACCCAATGCCACCCATTCCTGATATTTTATAATTAATTTTCAAGTACTGGTTTTGTAGGTATTATGTTTGATTGGATGGAGGATTTCATCATGAGCTTACATCAGTTAGAGAACCACTTGAAAACCTGAGAGTATTGGACAGCCATTTCATTCCAGTTTGATACTCTTCAGCAGTACGCACCCATCGCGGTTTGAATCCAAGACCTTCTGGTTACAAGGCGAGCTAGCTCGTAGACAGTTGAGACACTTGAACCCGATCTAATGCCCCATGAATTCTAACTTCTACCGATTCACGACATTATTACACAGATGAAATCGACTCGACAAGAAAAAACTGCATTGAAATTGATTAATACACCACAGTGACCCTAACTTGATCGAATAGAGTATTTGTACAGCATAACAGATATATTTCTTTGTTTGAAAAGTTCCGCTAGCGTAATGTTATTTCTTATCTGGTGTCTTAATCATGTCTTTTTCTTCTCTTCAGAAGGATATCAGCACCATTAATGTCTATCAAAGCAAACAATAAACAGTAAGTTTCATAATAATTATTTTACTCATATTTGTTTATTTGTTTATTGAAAGTAATTCTGTTGGAACCACTAAATAAAGCTTATTAAAAGAGGTTATTTAAATCGACTGTGTAATATAAACTTTCTAAAATTTACCTACAACCATATTAAATACCATTGTAACAGTGGTGAACAGTACTAACTTTAGATAATTCGGCTTTATTTTGTACATCATTTGCGCCGGTAGTGTAGCGGTATCATGCAACCCTCCCACGGTTGTGACCCGGGTTCGACTCCCAGCCGGCGCACACGGCTTTTGTGCGTCGGTGGCACAGTGGTTAGGACTCTCGACGACCATGCACATAGTCCGAGGTTCAAGCCCACCCCGACGCACACCTGATATCTATGGTCGGCCTGCGAATTTCGGGCTACCGATATCCACGCTGAAAATTCCATACTTGTACCAAAAATACAGTGTGGAATCAAGCTGTAATAAAAAAATATATATAACTATGACATTTTAAAGACCACTTTTTATGTAGGAGAGTATACCATGAATAACAACAATGTAATACACATAAGTTTATGTTTTATAGAGCTTGCACTAATCTGCTGACAACACTATTATCAAAGAGTATGGACATTAAACTATGAGATAAAATGTGAGACATTATAATCAAATTTATGAAATGGTCTCACTTTACACTAATTGTAAGATGTTTGACATTTTCTCACCGAAGACTTTCCATAACTCACTGGAAACAATCGTTTCCTGAGCATGACTTGCCTTACCGTAATGATATAAACTTTGTGAAGTGTGAGGACGATCTGACCGTTTTAATGCCTGTTAACTCCCAGCTAGATTTTACTAAGATAAATAGCTTTCTATCAGGAGTTAGCAAATGGTCTTCATCTAATGGTCTTGAACTAAATCCTCCTGAATGTCAGACTGTTAGTTTTAGTTTCCGATAAAAAAAGAAAGTTAAGCGAAGCTGGTAATAAGCATGACCCTTTTAAATTTGATGATACTGATATAGAAATCAGATTTGATGCTAAGAATCTTGGACTAATTCTCTCTCCTGACCAATCCTGGTCTTTCCACATCTTAATGATTCCTAGTAAAATGTTCTGTCTGACTCTTAACATTGAGAAGTTAAGGCACTCAGGCATAACTCTTACAGTTTATCAACTCTTGCATCTAACCTATTCTTCCTTATTGTTCACCCTTATTCCTCCTGGGTTGCTTAAAATAAGCCATGTCATACTTTGTAGGACTCTGAAAACTGTCAGTAGGATGAGTGGCATCCCATTGGGCCATATTGTTGACATAGTCATTGCTAGGCATTTGGTGTCATACAACAAATTTGCTAAAAGGATTTTCTATAGCTGGTTTGTAAGGATTAGTTTTGTTTTTGCGAGTTGATCACAGATTAATATCAGTTAGAGAACCATTGAAAACCATCACTGGAGAAGTGAATAGCTGTTTGGGAATCATCGCTAGTACGCACCCACCACCTGGGTTCGAACCCAGGGCCTTCCGGTTACAAGGCAAGCTATCTCGTATACCATTCAACCGCTGAGATCCTATTCAATGACTAACTCATAAATTCTAACTTCTACCAATTCGTAATTTAGCGCGGCCACCAACCACTGTTGTCGATGGGACATCCATCCTCACAAGTGACATTTGGATGGACCTCACTGGTCACTACATCTCACTAGAACTCCAGGAAACTCCATCCTGTAGCAGGTCGCACTAAACATAGGTTGTTGTCGTTCACTAGACAGAATATGTCTGGATCCAGTAGGAAAATCCTTCTGATGGCCAAATTTTATTTATTTATTTATTTTTGATTACAGTTTGATTCCACACTGTATTTTTGGTACAAGTATGGAATTTTCAGCATGGATATCGGTAGCCCAGATTTTGCAGGCCGACCATAGATATCAAGTGTGCGTCGGCAGGGGATCGAACCTCGGACCATGTGCACGGTCGTCGAGAGTCCTAACCACTGTGCCACCGACGTACAGTCTCTAAGTTACTGATACGGCTCCTGTTTGATTATTTGTTCAACACTATAGATGTTTCCAATATTCTGAATTTCAGATAGACCGAAAAGATTTAGTTAGGCAACTTGTGTAAAGGTGTTTAGCACAGAGCTCCTTTTTACTTATAGTATTTCGCGAGATTTATTTAGTAGTGGGAAGTCCCCTAAATTATTGAACATTATCTAATAGTAATAATCCTATCTCCTGTGCATCTTCGGCTACTGCAGCTACATTGAATTGTCTTCCTCTACTTTATTTAATGCTTTACAAAATTTAGACTTTGAATAAAGGCTAGCGTAACATTTTGTGCAGAATAAGATGATGGTACCATCATTGTTTTTTCGTTGGCTTCTCATCATCAGCGTAGAGCCCAAATGAAACTACTTAGACATGAAAAGCTTGACTGCTTTTGATCATAGATGTCTGCGATCTCTGTCTCACGTTAGGTGGTTTAATAAGGTAAGTAATGTTGACGTTAGGCGTAGAGTGTTGGACAGGCAAAGAGGGAAAATCAATCAACGAGGCTATAAAGTTACATAGACTAAGATGGCTAGGTCATGTGGTGCGCATGCCTAACCACCGCCTCCCCCGACGGGCATTACTAGCTGATATAGGTGCAGGTTGGAAAAGAGTAAGTGGTGGCCTAACAAAAACATGGAATCAATCCATGAAATCCTTGACAGTTAAACTGAGTCAGGTAGGGAGATGTAGACTCCCGGGTTGGGGCCCTCGCCTCGGAACTCTAGGAATCAATGGCTGGAGACAATAGGTGACATGGCTCAAAATCGTTGTCAATGGTCAGCGCAGATATATTCAGTCTCTGTATTCTTTCATATTTCTTGCTACCATTACCCATTCTGTTTCCCTCTTATACTTGTCAAACTGTATTGATTCTCTTCACCCATCTTCTTGTCTACCTTTGTGTGATATTTGGAACGTGGCAACTCGAACTGGTGCACTTCGGTGCCAAAGTTACACTCATACAAATTTTACCAAAGAATTCAAGTTAAAAAAATCAATATATGCATATAATGAAGATAGAGTTAAGTAATAAAGATGAGTGGTAAGTAATATGGTGAGTGACAGTGTAGTGAGTTCAAGACAAGAAAAATTATCAAACGGGGGTAACTTTAAAGCCGAAGATTACGCAATTAGCCAAAAGAGATAGAGAGAGAGAGTTACCAGGGCAACGAAAAACTAACAACCGCTTCTTTCTGAATTCATATATCAGTTCTCAGCCATTTGATAAAGATTGCCTCGGCAAACTTGAGTAGAACTGTGTATTTTTTTGTCTATTGATAATTATAAAGGATCTTGAGATATTCACCTTATTACCCATATCGAGGAGATAACTGGTAATGGTGCAACATTGAAAACGCTAATTCCCTTGAGATGTAGGCTTTTTAACACAAGACTACTTGAACTGATATGCTTTCGTGAAAAAGTTCCATGTTGATGAAATAATCACTTGTTGGGTTGGTTAATCATCCAGACAGTCATTTGAAGAATCAACATATACACTAATGATCATGGATCTAGAGATTAGCGTAGACTCTGTTCTAAAACTAAAAATGCAATAACTAACAGATTTGAAATGCATGGGGAGGCATTTCAATCACTAGAGCTGAGGTGGTAAGACCTTACACAGTTATTCTGTTGAATGAAATGTACATTTATGTCCTCAAATCTGCAGACCGACGAATACAACCTTTCAGCATACCTTCTGATCGATTTTATCATACACTTATCCTTGAACGTCGATTAAAAACATACATACAGTCAAAACAGACAAAGTTTTCAAATAGATTTCAACTTTGTACACTCCCACAACAATATTTGAAATGGTACATATAAATAAAAACAACTAACCACTTTATGAATTCTAAAGATTGACGCGTTGAATTCCTACCTATCAATGTTAATTAAGTAGTATATTTAATGCGATCTCTTTATTTACTTTCTATAATTGTATAATATCACATCTGATAAGAATGTCTACATTTTAGATAAGTATAAACAATATGATTCTCATTGAAAGTGTAGCTGGAGCCACATTGAACATTTAATTATTGTTATCCATTTGTTTATATTAATCGGTTAAATTTTGAATGTCTTATATTGTCATTTCATAAGTGAAACATTTTTTGTGACGATAATAAGTTAAATATTTATTTTACACTAAACACGCTATTGATATTTAATTAGAATGGTGGCGTTTCTGCAGTTTAATGAAAGTGACACTTTTATGAATCAAGATTCATTCACAGTTGATGTGAATGCTGTACAAAATAGCCTTGGCTTGGTGGTTGAGTCTCATCGCGTAGCTGGTCGAGAACCTGACTAGTCCTTCGGAGGCTGCAGATTCATATCCCACCAAGTCACAAATTTTCATTCCACCTTCGGCCGTCAATTTTGCTCTCAAGACTTGGTGACTTCAGACTATCTCAGACGGTTCCCTCCCCCACCACACACATTCATGAGTATTAACAAGGATGCAGGATGTACATGCAATCCGCAGTCAATGATGGCTCGAACCCAATACTCATCATTTCAAAGGTCAAAACGTTATCCGTCAGATGAAATGGGCACCGAGAGCCATCGCCTCTTGTGCAACGAGTTTCAGTTAATTATTTATTTTTCATTCATTCATTCATTCATTGACGTTTGAGATAATCGGTACTGGGTTCCAGCCTCGGTGGGAACACCATCCAGCATTCAGTGTGGAATGCGGATGCATCCAGCTGACGAGTCAGCTCTGAGCAGGACAAAGTGCGTGTTATCTTGGATTCCACTACTAGTCACCATCCAGCAAATTACTTGAAATATAGTTAAAGCATCCATACAAGGAGCCAATATGTCAACGGAAGCTCAACATTTCGATCTAATCAATCAGTGAAAAAATCAAAATCGAATTTCAGGTACACTTTAAACTTGAAAAACTGATTTGTACCATCGTAGAATTTTTCAATGA